TGCAAATAGCTTACGTATAAACGTAGTAATAGAATATTTGTTTCCAAAGAAGCCACACTCATGCATCCTCTCGGAAATGGTACAAGTCATCAAATAAAAGCTGTGGAGTCAACAGCTGTGGAGTTTATGGTGGTTGGCTACCGTCCACAAATATACATATGCACTATGCATGGCTTTTTACAATGGCGAGTCCAAAAATTCACTTTGCTGCACACCTTCCTTTTGGTCTACATGAAATTGCAAACACTGTTAATACATCCATTTTTTCATGTGCTACAAATCGTACTTATCTAAATGACTACTTGTCCAAAATTATTGCTATGTGTTCCCAATTAATCAATCTTTGTATATTTATTGATCCCTGCAAAATTGGGCCATGTAATGATAAAATTAACAAATTTTTCTGCATTGTTTACATATTTTTATATGCGTTTTGGCATTTCTCTCTCGCAATTGCACTAAGATGACGTCACGCAAAAATTACGCTCAAAAATCCTCTCTCATTGGCGCAATCTTGTATTCTACCATTCTTGGTTCATGTATACAAAACTGAAACCTGTTTTCGGCCGGCTGCCCAGTCCAGTGTGCGTTCGAGTGATGGACTTAGGGTTCGAACGATACTATCGATATTGAGTAAGTATCGATACTGAGGGTATAAAAATTAGTACTTTAATACTCGATACCTTATTTGGCGATTTTACTCGATACTTTCCAAAGTACTCGTAGTATCGAATACTTTTTAAAAAACACGCTTTTTAAATTTTGTCTTCCATTGGCAACCCAATTTTCTTTGCTTATATGGATTACTATCATTCAATTTTGTCCATCACTTTAAATAAACTGAAATCTCTTGTAGTCTGTTACATAACATAAACCAAATAAGTTAAAGTTTAATGGCCTTATTCATAAAAAATAAAGTAGGCTTCAAGAGCTTAAATAAAATGACACTTTCATACATTCTTCAGTTTATAAACCTTTTTTATTTTTTATGAATAAGGCCATAAAACTTTACTTTAAACTATACTTTAAAGTTCACGAAAATACAGAATTTTTAGAAACTTTTAGGGTATGCAGTTTTGTAACCTATTCAACTTTCCGTGTAGCCTACTACCGTTGACTTTTAATTAAAATTTTAAATATTATTAAATATTAAACAAAATTGAATAGGCTACAAAAATGCATACCCACAAAGTTTCCAAAAACTCTTAATCAAATTTAAAATTCGTGAAAGTAAATATGTGTGTATTTATGTATGTACATTTAACGTTTAAATTACTTCTAACGTGGAAGTAAGTTCTGCAATGAAATAAAAATCAAATATTTTTAATGTCTATTGTTTTAATTTCAGGAAATAACTAGATATACGATTGAAGAACAAAATAATTTTAGTATCCCAAGAAACGTATTTTAATGAGTCCGATACTGAGTAGTATCGATACTTTTTCCCTGATACTTTTAGAGTATCGATACCATGAGCTCGATGCCAGAATGAGTACTCAGTATCGATACCAAAGTCTGAAATTTCGAACCCTAGGTGGACTGCTCAGTCCGACTGAGCAAGTTAGTGAGCTCAGGCCAAAGAACGTAGATGACAAGAAGGGACAACTCGTTATAATTGTGGCGAAAGTGCGCAACAGGGGCGTGCCTTCTCTTTTCATCCAATCAAAAAACGCACTAGGGCAAAGCGTAACGAAATATAGGAAATAAAAGAAAAACAAGTTGATGTTTAAAGGTTTGGTTCTCATGAGAGCAACGTCATTTTGGCTTCTACCTGTATTTATGTGCCTTGCTTCCATGGTACAATAAAAACAGGTAGAAGCCAAATTGACATCAAACCTACAAAAGTCAAAGTTTTCGGGAGAGTAAAAATAAAAATGAGCGTGTGTAAGGAAAAATAAAAAATTACATTTCGCTGGTTGACGTTTTTGAGTAAATTTGAAGTTTTGTTTCTATTTATTTATTTTTCTTTAGTTAAAATTTGTTAATTTGTATGTTGTTTTATGTTTTTAATTTATGAGTTGCAGTGTTGTTGGAGGGAGTTTCCGGCATAAGGGTCATAGGAACAGCACTTGGCATCAAACGTGCCTTTCCTGTACCTCCCGGTGCATTTATGAAATCTGCTGCTTTAAAATGTTTAACGCACAGCAAGGCATTACGCTGCAGCTCTGGCCCACAGCTGCTTTCGCAACGCTCTTTACGCGAAGGACATTGAGGCACGTTAAATGGTATCTGCTTCATATTTAACACCACATAAAAAACAACGCTTCGGTGTTGCATTTTTAACACATACATTAAGTATAAACTGCACAACACTACAAAAATTCAATTGTTAATTAAAATTTGTTATTAACGAACATTCAAAAAAAAAAAAAAAAACAACGATATGACATTCAAAGCGTAACGAAATATAGGAAATAAAAGAAAAACAAGTTGAAGTTTAAAGGTTTGGTTCTCATGAGAGCAACGTCATTTTGGCTTCTACCTGTATTTATGTGCCTTGCCTTGCTTCTGCTAAAGCTGCTGCGTTGCGTTAAAAGTCAAAATTTGTGTTTTACGTTGTGGACTGGTTTATAAGGAGTATTAGAAAGGTATGTGTGATAAGATTAAAGACTTTTGTTTTTCTATTTTTGTCGTCGTATTTCGTCACTTTATCCTTATGTGCGTTCGTTAAAAAAAAAATTGTTTTGCCGGGCGGAGGATAAAAAAGTGCCTAAATGTGCCAAATAGAGAAATAAAAGTGCAAAAAAAGGTCCTATACTTTTTAATTCTTCTCATTCAGCATAAAAATTAGAAGCACCTTCCTAAACAAAAGTCCAATACCTTAGTAAGATCAAAGAACGTAGATAACAAGAAGGGACAACTCGTTATAATTGTAACGAAACTGCGCCACAGGGGCGTGCCTTCTCTTTTGCCCTAGTGCGTTTTTTGATTGGATGAAAAGAGAAGGCACGCCCCTGTTCCGCACTTTCGCCACAACTATAACGAGTTGCCCCTTCTTGTTGTCTACGTTCTTTGGTAAGATAGACCAGTTGTAAACGCTATAGAAATTAGTAAATTTTAGTTGAGAAAAAGAAGTACACGTAAAGGATTTCATAAAAATATATTGAAATATTGCTGTTTTCCAAAAGTGCAAAATTGAAAAATTAAGTGCCATTTGAAGTAAAATAGGGCTAAAAATGGCACGCTTTCAGCCAAATTGGCAGCCCTGAACGCCCCCTTTGTGAAAAGGTGTAAATAGGTGCGTACAGTGACTGTTTGACAGATCAACCAGGATTTTGTGAAGCACTTTTTGTTCATACCATCCCGCCATCTTGTCTCTATCAATTAAAAATGCCGAAACTTAGCAGAAAACCTAAATCAATACAGTTAGTGGATGAAATTCATTCACTTTATTCGCGTATTATTTTTTAATTTATTTTCATTATCTTAACATACATTTTAGTATAAAAATTTCGGCCTCTCGGCAACACTGAAATTTTCGAGATCGTTTGCGCATCAAACGTACCTCATAAATTAACGAGGGGCTCGTAAATAGAGCTCCATACAAATTTTGACAGTTCTTTTACGAGGCTCGTAAATTTACGAGCTTTACTAGGCTGTTACGAGTTTAAGGGAAGACGCCTAATACAACTAAATGCACTGTTGTAGAACAAAACTAGATAAATGCATGGTTGTATTTTGGATTACGTTTTCCTGTAACAATTTTTTTTGCATACATACATATGTAATTCATTTCATTTCACTTATTAAGAGAAAAAACATTAGTACAATAAGATCATAGATCTTTTATAGTACAAAACAGAGATTAAAAATACTAGTAAAAATAAAATACATACAGATTACTTACAAAAAAATTATTAAATATATATCACATTATACATATGTAGCAAAGATCAACACAGATGACAAAAGAAAGTTAAACATTTAGATAGCGAAACCCAGACTCACAAATTTACAAAAAAAATAATAATAACAAAAAATAAATAAATATTTGATTCAGCGTATAGATGATGTTCTTAAAGTTGCTTTTATTCAATCAACTCCGAATGGGGGTAGGAATAGAATTCCAGACACAAATAGCATTGACAAGGAATAGCCTTGCAGAGGTTAGATAATTAAAAGATGGTACTATCAAGTCGTTAATTCGAGCTGATTTAGGGAAAATTAGTTTTTTGTAGGGATAGCTAGGAGCATTATCTAGCTTCTCATAAAAATACAATCGCCGTTCGGAGTCGGCGTAAAACTGTAGGTCCTTCCTCCTTGTGTGACAGCATCAAGGCGCACGCCCCAAATCGCAGGAGAAGCTCGGCCAATCACATATTCTATATTATTATTAGGTTCTTTCCCTAACAATCCGGACCGGATCCGGTATTTAGAGAATAAGCGAAAAGTTTGCTCTCAGAAATGGAACATAATCCAGAAGTACGGGAACGCAAAAAACCACATTTCGGGCCCAGGATTTGAGAATCAGCTGATTCGCGTTGTTTTTGTTTTTGTCACTTAAATGCAAACTCTTGGGCATTGAATTTTTGTTTCACAAATTTGGTTTCACGTATATAAAGATTGAAAATACATTCACTATTCCTTAATAGCACCAAGTAAATGCAGGCAACATGTAAACATAAAACAGCTGATATGCACTTTTACACTTTATCCATTTTTACCCGGAGAAAAAGTCCGGGCTGTTTCGGGCAGGAAGAAGAAGACACTTACGATCCAATACGTTCCAATTTTCGCTCTCTATTACCCATTTTGTTGAGTACGGATATGATTTCGGGGCTATTTTGGGCGGGATCCCGCGTTGCGTACGGGAAAGAACCTTTTAATGAAATTCGATTACTTATCGATGTTTTCATAGTCATGTTTTTGATAATCACCTGCTTATTTTTACCATAACCAATCAGCTGTAATCAGCTGTTCTTGTTTACATTTCATCCTTGTTTCACGTTCCTTAATTTTTTTTCATTCTGTTTCTTGAAAGCGTGCTGCAATTTGTTTTTTTTCTTGTGCCCGAGCTTTGTGGCATTGGTCGAATACCAAAAAGTTTATTTCCTTTTAATTAAGTGAAATGCTAGTATCTTTAAGTCGAACAACAAAATTAACAAGTACTTTGCTATGGCATCGGATGAGGACGAAATCTACAGTGTTTTCGCCAATTCATATGAAACTTTATGCTACGAAGTCAGGAGGAACAATGGATTTTATCGATGGAACCAAAATGTCCAGTGAAAGGATAACAATAGGGGATGTCACGAAAGTTTTAAAAGCACCAACAAATCCTGAACTGGTGCCTAAAAAATATGGTAAATGACTGTATGATGCTAATGAAATATATTTATGAATGCCGATGGGCGAGGTCAAAGTCCAAATTGGCTTCAGCCTAGCACCAGTCGACTTTTGCAATACATACATAGTTTCATAAAAATTAATTATTTTTTATAAAGTTCAGTACAGCGATGATGGTTCGTTAGAACTGACACAATCAGCGCTACATCATTTACGATGGATGCTGCAGAAGGATATTTTAAAGCAGGATATGTTCCTTATTGGTCAACCTGGATCGTTGCGCCGGCAGTTAGCAATGCAATATTTAGAACTAACACAGCGTGAATTGGAATACATTGCGTTGAGTAGAGATACCACAGAAAGTGATTTGAAACAGCGGCGAGAAATCAAGAACAAAGCTGCAATATATTATGATCAGGTAAGATTGAATTACAGTTTGTAATTAGTGTTTCATAATCAATGTTTAATGTTATTTTCAAATAGTGCGCTGTGCGTGCTGCAGTTAATGGACGCGTTTTGGTGCTTGATGGCGTAGAGCATGCTGAACGCAATGTATTACCAATATTAAATAATTTACTAGAAAATCGTGAAATGCATCTAGAAAATGGGAAATTCTTAATGGCTCCCGAACGCTACGATAAGTTATTAGAAGTAAGAAGTAAAAGCATTTTGAAACGCTGGTATATTTCTTATTTTTATTCACTTGCACATACATTTTCACACTCTCTAGACACATACCAAAGAAGAGATGGATAAGAATGGTGTTCTGCGAGTGTCCGAAGACTTCCGCGTGGTTGCGATCGGGCTTCCTACACACAAATATAAAGGCACACCATTAGATCCACCACTGCGTTCTCGCTTCCAGTCCCGCAACGTATCGCACTATGCCTTTGATGTAAGCACAATTCCTTGCATAGATATTAAACCAATTCGTATTTCCCACAAGCGCTCATTTTCATATTCATATTTCCATATGTATGCAATTACTTTAGGAGATTTTAACCAACCTGCATCATTACGCACCGAATGTGCCTCCAGAGAATATCAAACGTTTGATTAGCTTTGGCATGGCAATTCAAGCTGCGGATCAAACCGATAGTCTGCCAGACTTCCCCCTTGACAACTTGCATTTGGTAGCAAAAATGATGGTAAATATTCAAATTTATGCTTACACAACAGCTATGCTAAAAAAAACATATTTGGTTTTTAATATTAGGACGCTAATCCACACATCAGCGTGCATGATGCAATAACCCGTATTTATCCATACCAAACATCAATGAAGAAGGAACGTATTGAACGCATCAAATCGCTGCTGAAATCTTTTAAAATAGACGCAGTGATTAGCAAGGCAGTAAAGTGTATTTCTAAATCCAACTCGACGGAGGAAGCTGCTTATATACGGTTTAATATCGATGACGTGTCTATTTCATTGTCTGGTAGCCATTGGCCAGCCCCGCAGCGAAAAATTAACGAATTCGTAGACCTAGATCATCAACGCAACGTGTTAGCCGCAATGATACAATCAATTGCAGTGGGAGACATATGCTTAATTGGTATGTCTTTTGAAAATCCTAATTAAATAAATTATTAATTATACATTTTTCGAGTAGGTCAAAAAGGTGTTGGAAAAATGACTCTGACCAGTCATTTGGTGCACTTGCTAAACCAATCACTTGAAACTATGATTCTCTATGAGGATATGACTTCGCGTGATCTTATTCAGCAACGCATTACTTCGACAGATGGAGACACGGTATGGCGCGATTCACCATTGGTACGAGCAGCTAAATGTGGTTCTATAGCTGTACTAAATGGCGTACATCATTTGCACAAGAGCACAATTACAGCACTGCAACGGTAAGCACATTACTATAATTTACTATTAATCTTGCAAGTTTTAAGTCCATTTGCAGTTTAATTCAGGATCGCGAATTGCAGCTCTGTGACGGCACGATTTTGGTGCGTCCCGATCGCTATAATGCACTTCTTCAGCAAGGCTTCACTAAATTAGAACTAGCTGAAAAGGGTATACTCAAAATACATGATTCCTTTCGCATTATAGCATTGGGCGAACCGCCGAGTCCCGGCCAACCTGCACAAAATTGGCTCACTTCTGAAATCCTCAGCTTATTCTTGTTCCTTGAAGTACGGCCACTTCAACAGAGTGAAGAATATGAAATCATAAGAAAACTTTATGGCGAAATTAATGATGATATTCAAAAAATAATTAACTTATCACATTATTTGCGGGAGTCATCAGATCCGACCCTCTTGAACTTAGCTGGTACTTTGTCAACGCGCCAATTGTTGAAAATTGCGCGGCGAATATCTGCTTTTCCAAGTGGTACCTCTGGAGGGAGCGACTTAATCTCCGCCTACGATATACTTCAAAATACATTTCTCGCCAAATTTATGCCGGCTTTGCCGCGTGCAGCGCTTGAAGACGCCATAGCTCGCTCGGGCATCGAGAAGACCAGCACACGGTCGGCTATTCGACGCAAAATTACCACTGATGGAAATGTGTTGACTATAGGCAAAACTTCCATGCCGCTTGTCGCAACGGAAGCGGAGTCTAAAGTACCCAGTACGCTATTTTATGAAATGCCACAACATGTAGAGCTCTTGGAGCGGCTATTACAGGACTTCATAATCGGTGATCACCTCTTGTTAGTTGGTAATCAGGGTGTAGGAAAAAACAAGCTCATCGATAAACTACTTCAACTAATGAACAAGGCGCGCGAGTACCTACAGCTGCATCGCGATACCACCGTGCATAGCCTGACGGTTCAGTCAACGCTTCGCGATGGTCAGGTCATCTACGAGGACAGTCCACTTGTAAAAGCAGCGAAGAGCGGGCACATATTGGTAATCGATGAAGCAGACAAAGCTCCTGTAAATGTAACATGCATATTGCGAACGCTGGTCGAAAATGGTGAAATGTTTCTCTCAGACGGACGCAAAATTGTACCTGCCGGCGAAGGTGCCGCTGCTCGAAATGCGGGGTATACTGGCGAAATCATCGAAATGCATCCCAATTTCCGTATAATTGTGTTGGCAAACAGGCCAGGATTTCCATTCCTAGGCAATGACTTTTTCGCCACTTTGGGTGACGTCTTTAGCTGCCACGCCATTGATAATCCGTCGCCGGATTCAGAAATATTTCTTCTGCAAAAATATGGCCCATCAGTACCCAAGAAAACACTCTCTATGCTGGTCGATGCTTTTGGCGAGCTGCGTACAATGGCCGATGAAGGTGTACTCAATTACCCTTACTCCACAAGAGAAGTGGTTAATATTGTGAAACATTTGGAAAAATATCCGCACGACTCAATGTCCGAATTGGTTGGCAATGTGCTGGACTTCGACAAATATCAACCCGAGGCTCTGGAACAAGTAACAACAGTACTATCCAAGCATGGCTTACCCATAGAAGCATATGCGCGCAATGAATTGTTTGCATTGCGGCGCAAGAAGGAAATCCAATTGACAGTTGAACGCAAAAGTGGTCTTGACGTTTCTAATCCCAAATACGGCAAAGTTGACCCAAAGAACGAGCCGCATGTGGGCGGTAATACGTGGGCTGGCGGTACTGGCGGTCGCGACACAGCTGGTCTTGGGGGCAAAGGTGGACCTTTTCGCCTGGATGCCGGTCACAAAGTGCATCAGCTCTCTGATGAAGAGAAAGATGCGATACCGGAAGAGGTAAAACAGGCTGCCCGCGAAATGAATCGCAAGGCATTCGAAGACAAGCTAAAAGAGATTCGTATGTCAGCTCATGATCATAAGTTATACGCACAATTCAGCGAGCCGATTCGGAAGCAAGTGCAGCAGCTCAAAGCAGTTTTAGAAGCTATGCAGACGAAGAGTAATGAAAGACAATGGCAAAAATACCAAACACATGGGGAGTTAGATGACACACGCTTGATAGAGGGTATTACTGGAGAAAAGAATATCTATAGAAGACGTGCTGAGGCCAATCCGTGGGCGGATCATATTCAGGAGAAGCCCAATAGGTTGAAGTTGGTAGTGGATGTGTCGGGCTCCATGTACAGGTAAATGCTTACGCACTTTTTCACTCGATATTGACAGTCACTTGCATCCTATTCTCTCTGCTTCCAGATTTAATGGTTACGATGGCCGTTTGGATCGCGAACTCGAAGCCGTCGTAATGGTTATGGAAGCATTCGAGGGCTTTGAAAAGAAAATCGTGTATGATATCGTTGGTCATAGCGGCGAGGGTTGGAAAATACCATTTGTCAACGCTGGTAGCCCGCCAAAAACAGATAAAGAACGTTTCGAAACAATTCGTATGATGCATGCACATTCCCAATTCTGCTGGTCTGGCGACAGTACTGTAAAGGCTATTAAAGAAGCTGTGAATACATTGTCAACTGAGAACTATGACAACTCAATCGTTGTAGTGCTTAGCGATGCGAACTTATCACGTTATGGCATACAGCCAAAAGAGGTGGCGAAAGCTCTCATGAATGGTGAACCTAAAGTGAAAGGACATATGTTATTCATTGGCAGTTTAGAGGAGGAGGCTGATGAGTATGCTCAAACAAATTGGTAACTTATGCAAGAATCTTTAAAATTTTTCTCCGTTTAATTTCAGAATCAATGCTCAAATGCCGGCAGGGCATAGTTATGTTTGCATGGAATTAACGAAATTGCCACAAATTCTGAAACAGATTTTCACTTCATCATTGCTGTGAGGTAGTTAAGAAATGTTTATCTTAAATGGGAATTATTTTTTAACTAAAAAGTTTATGAATCTGTAGTTTTTTAATGTGTAATACGAGTATATGTGTCTAAAAAAGCATGTATGTATGTATATATTTTTATAGCCAAAATGTGCATTTATCAATAACTGTTGGTACATTTGTAAGTTCCTAGCTGATACAAAATAAAATTGGGCCAGCTCCAAAATCATACCAAATTAAAAACAATATCTTATATGGCATTCACACTATCTTGGTTACGGACTCATTGAGGCATGTTCTTGTTTTCGTACGAATCGAAATTTTGGAATTTTTGTATAGAAAAAGATAGGAAAATTTCATGATTCTCGATTCGTACGAAAACAATGGTGCGTATTCTGTTTTCCGTAGGAATAGAAAATTTTAAATTTTTTATAGAAAATGGTAGGAAAATTTCATGATTTTCGATTCGTGCGAAAACAAGAATACGCCCCAATATTTTTATTTATTTCTTATTGAAATGAATTATTTTAAATGAATTTTTTCCCCGAAATTAAGAAAAAAGTCGAAGTTCGGGCGAAACCGAACATTAAATACCCGGCGCACGTATTATATTTCTGGAGCCTCCTGAAGATAATTTAAAATTAGATAAGACTCTTCTTCTGTCCATTTTTTATTTGGCTTTGCACGTTCTAATCTTCTTTTCTCTCGGCCGTCCATAATTCACTTACATATTTGGTTACTTTAATAACACTGGTCTACAAATTTCAACTTTTTTTCTGCGAATAAGACGGGACCTGGTGTTTCTGAACGGATTTTTCGTGCTGAACACGAATCCGGGGTCAAAAATGTCCCATCACGTCACGTTTTCGAGAAAAAAAGGGGTTGAAACCCCTAAAAACAGCGTTTTTGGCCATTTTCGAAAAATTATAGAGCTGAACCCTGACGTGGTACAAATTTTGCATATATCAGAAATTAAAGGCTAAACCGTGCCCTTTCGAATGAGCCCTATGCCGAATTGATCGCGTGCACCCTTAAAGCAGGGGGTGTATTTGTGTTTAGGGGTGCAGGAAAAATTGATCACAGAAAGAATTTAATCTTAAACGATCATAGAAAATTAATAATGCCAAGGTTTTAACTATATTAAAAGTCGCTGATTACGAATCTGCAGTTAGATTTTAAAAATTTAAGATGACGGGTCGAATATGGTGGATATAAAAATTGGACTCCTAGACACAAATACACCCCCTGATCTAAGGGTGCATGCGATTAATTCGGCATAGGGCTCATTCGAAAGGGCACGATTTAGCCTTTAATTTCTGACATATACAAAGTTTGTAGCACGTCAGGGTTCAGCTCTACAATTTTTCAAAAATGGCCAAAAACGCTGTTTTTAGGGGTTTCAACCCCTTTTTTCTCGAAAACGTGACGTGATGGGAAGTTTTGGACCCCAGATTCGTGTTCAGCACGAAAAATCCGTTCGGAAACACCAGGTCCCGTCTTATTCGCAAAACCTTTGTAGACCAGTGTAATCAGCTGTTCATTTCCAATCAGTGTTGCAACCATGTATAATGGACTCTTGGGGCTATGTATTTTGTTAGTGTTTTGTAAAAAAATGCAACACCAGTTTCCAAATGCAACGATGCAAGGCCATTTCCACAAGATCCTGAACAGCCCTAACGTAAAAAAAAACTCAGTGCGTGTAGTACCTCTACGCGCGGAGGAAGTGAAACTTAATAGAGTAAATTGGATCATTTCTGCCATTCACAATTTTCAATGAAAATTTTCCCTTGAAAAATTTTGTCAGTTCATCAAATTCGGCTAGCGAAAAGTTGACTTGAAATCTCCTGCGAGATTACAGGTCGAACATAACAGTCTAATTTTCTTTGTCTTCATCTTCATATTCATATCGTCGCCTGGGTAAAAGATTGTCGTATGTTAATTTCGGCAAG